TTTTTTTTTTTTTTTTTATGCTAGGTATTGTCTGTCTTAAATCTGTACCTGTAGGGAAACTTGCTAATGTATGTTGTCGGTGACGGGTTGAGAGGTTTATGCTAGGTTTTGCTCGGTAATGTTTTCAGTTTTAATGGATATTCAAGATTTTGAGCTCATTATTATGTTATTGGGGTTTTGGGGGTAGATTTATTTATTTAATTCTGCTTTGTGTTGTTTTTAATTTTTTTTGTTTTTTGTTTTGTTGGTTGTTGTGTGATTGCATTGGCTACTCTTTGTTCAAGCCTTTTAGGGGTTGTGATTTGAACTGGTTTATTTGGTGATCTAAATGCTTTGATATTTGTTTTTCTAAATCTGGTGTATTGTTGATCTCTTTTCTGCTATCAGATGGGTTTAGTTCAAGATTGTTTTTTTCTTATAATTTTGTTGTAAAATGTGGTCCTAACTGCTGAATGGAATTGAAAAACCTTCTGAGGGCATAAAACTGTCTGGTCACCATATATTTTTGCTAAAAGTTATAGCCTCCAAAGTTGTTGTTTTCGATTTGTTGATGTAGCATTCTAGGCATTGTTGCCAAATTACACTTTCTTTTGTGCATAAATTAATGGTGTTCTGTTTCTTTCTTGTTCTTTCTTAATCCACCAGCTATATTCGTTTGCTGGAGTGAGATCTAAGAAAGACCTTAATCAGTGACAGAATATTTGTCATCACAGGTGAAGGGATCATAAAATCTCCCCATTAATTTATACCTCACTTCTCAGAATTCTTGCATGTTTTTTTGACCCAAAGATTCGATTTTTATGAAGAGCTTCTTCGATTTCTCGAAAATGGGTTCCATGAACATGGAGAGAAAATGGCTCTTCCCTCTCATCCTAACTTCATTTTTTTGCATTTTACTCATCGCCACATCCTTAAACACGGGCTTCGTTTCTTCTGCCAACACTATCACCTCCATATTTTCTTTGTTCCAATCTAGCCCCTCTTCCAATCAAACCAAGCCCTATTTTGCAGAGGAGAAAATAACTCGATCACCCCCACCCCCTTCCCGCCCGCCCGTCCCGAAATTCGCTTATCTTGTTTCGGGGTCGAAAGGCGATTTGGAAAAACTTTGGAGGACCTTACATGCAATTTATCACCCGCAGAACTATTACGTTGTCCATCTAGACCTCGAGTCGCCAGCCGAAGAGAGGCTGGAGCTCGCGTCCCGTGTGGAAAGGCATCCACTTTTCTCGAAAATTGGGAATGTGTACATGAACAAGAAGGCGAATATGGTTACTTATACAGGGCCCACGATGGTAGCGAATACACTCCACGCGTGCGCCATTCTTTTGAAGAGGCATAAGGATTGGGATTGGTTTATTAACCTTAGCGCCTCGGATTATCCTTTGGTGACTCAAGATGGTAAGCAATTTTTTTATTTTTTTTTCTTTGTCTTGCTTTTTATTTCCTTTTATTATTGATGGTTTAGGGTGGAAAAACCGATGGATATGTAATGACTAATGACAATTTTGTTCGTTTTTTCCAGATCTTCTGTCAGTATTTTCGGGGTTGAAACGGGATTCAAATTTTATCGAGCACACGAGCGATTTAGGGTGGAAAGCGTGAGTTCTCGGTAGTTACTTTATTAGGGCTTATTCTGCGTATTATGATTTTATCCTAAACACGAGAGAACTGAAATGCTGGGTTTTTGTTGCAGGACTAAAAGGGCAATGCCATTGATGATAGATCCCGGGCTTTACCAAACGACCAAGTCTGACATTTTTTGGGTCACACCGAACAGAAATTTACCAACAGCATTCAAATTATTTACAGGTAGGTAATTGGAAATTTCAATCGGGCCATAATCTTCAGCTTTCTCTTCAACTATCCTATTTTCACCTGTTTGCCATGGATTATTATAACTTTATGAGTAGAGAATTAGATCAAATTCCTATTTTGCTGTTTAACATCACGGGTTTCATTTCATCCCATGCCATCATATGGACTTTCCTGCATCCTAATGTACTTGAACACGGAAACAAAATTGCATTAGAAGGTTCTTTTTACTCTTTATTGTTCACATTTTTTTCGGATAGTTATCAGTAGACTGCCGGTTTGGACTTTTAATAGGGTCCAACATCTAGTTTCTTGACAAACTGCCATTTTTTTCTCTTCACGTACTTATGATTATTGTATGTGAAATTTTTTTCCCCAACTTTGTATTTTTCGCTTATCTTCAAGGTTCAACATATCTACTTTTCTATTTTGCTATTTCCAGGCTCGGCTTGGATGGTCCTTTCTCGCTCGTTCGTTGACTACTGCATTTCGGGTTGGGACAATCTCCCACGAACCCTCCTCATGTACTACTCAAACTTCGTCTCGTCTCCCGAAGGCTACTTCCAAACCGCCATCTGTAACTCTCCCGAGTTTATCCCAACCGTACTCAATCACGACATGCACTACATCTCTTGGGACACGCCTCCCAAACAGCACCCGCACATTCTCTCTCTAAACGACACTCAGGCAATGGTCTCGAGCGGGGCTGCTTTTGCGCGTAAATTCAGGAAAGACGATCCTGTCCTCGACTGGATCGACCGGGAGCTGCTCAGGAGGAAAAACGGGTCTTTCGTGCCAGGCGGATGGTGTGCTGGCAAGCCACGGTGCTCGAAGGTTGGGAAGGACCCGGCAAAGCTGAAGCCGGGACCTGGGGCTGGGAGGCTCGGGCGGCTCGTGGATAGGGTTGTGGGGTCCGCGAAAGTCGAGGGACAGCAGTGTGGTTAAGGAGAAAAAGAAAAAGAGAGAGAGAGAGAGAGAGAGAAAAAAATAAAAAAATTGAATGTAATAATAGGTATTAGTTATGGTTTTAGTAAAAAAGTGATGTTAATATTTTTTTTTATTTTTTTTTGAATGTTATAGCCACTACTACAAAGAGTGTGGCCTGATTTGGCCCTAATTTTGTAGGTTTGGTTTTTCTTGGATGGTCATATATTGCCAAATAGGGGTTCTGAAGGTTGTTAGCTCTCTCTATATATACACTTAATTCACTTTTTTGTTTGCGGTTGGTATTTTCAATCAGCTCAATATACGCTAGAGCGAGATTAATTTTCAATAATTTGCATTCACAAAAATAAAATGTTTATAGTTTTAGTTAAGACTATGGTGCACATTGCATTCTCTTGGTTCAGGTAATCTCAATCATTAGTAGTAGAGATGTACACCGAGGTGCACATTGCATTCCCTTGGTTCAGGTAATCTCAATCATTAGTAGTAGAGATGTACACCGAGCAAGGCTAGACGAGTCGAGCAATAGAAAAGTTCATAAAAATTTATATTTTTAAGTATTAACGAGCCAAACCATCAAATAGGGTTTGAGCTCCACTCAATTCATTAGGCTAAATGAGCTGAGCTATAAAAAAAATTTATAAAAATCTCTATTTTTGAGTAATAATGAGCCAAACTATCAAATAAAGTTTGAGCTCGACTCGATTCGTTATTCTAAATGAGCTGAGCAACAGAAAAGTTTATAAAATTCTCTACTTTTGAATGTTAACAAGCCAAACTATCAAATAAAGTTCGAGCTCGACTAAATTTGTTTATCAAACAATCTAGAATCAATTCATTTAATAGCTCTACTTAGCAATCATGTTGAGGATGATCACATATAGCAATCATGTTGAGACAATTTTGAAGTTACATCACATGTTCACCGCTAAAGATCGGATTTTGTGGCTGCAAGGAAATACATAAATAAAAAAGTATGGAGGCACAAATGTATGAATCTAAAGCTAGACATAAAAGAATCACACGTTTGGTTAAGTTAATACACAATCTAAACCTTCAGTTTTTCATGGATTTATGGATACAAGTTATACTAGGTTCATCAGCGACCCGAAACGAAGAATGAATTTATGGAGAACTTGTTACCATCACCCTGCATTTTACGTAACCTAGCCTTCTCGAGCCTAGCTCGTCTCACGGCTTCTTGGACTTGACGGTCATGGTCCTTCAATGCCTGGTCCACTTTACCCGAAGGAACTAACAGTGGACCCGAATAGTGAATTTTGTTACCCTTCGACCCGTATCCCAACTGTCGGACAGTAAAAACGCAAGAAGAAATTATCAGCAAATTCAAAATTATAACGAATTTCATCGCGATGCACTGTTACTAGCAAATAATAACAAGTTAGTGTCTCTCAGTAGGAAAGATTTTTACTGCATTGCTACTTGTTAGAAAAAAAAAAAAAGGCTTTTCAAAATTCTGTGTGTGTGTGTGAGCTTCAAGAGGAATTCTTGTAGCTATCCTAAAATAGATATATGAGGTGTTTCTATAATTCTTGAAAATATTTGTATTTATACAATAAAAACTCAGGTCGACTTACAAGAACGGGATCCTTTCCGACTCGTTCATCCTCACACGGCCGAGAATCTGCATTCACGAAATTTTTCCCATCTCGCCTCAATATAGCATTTGTAACCTCCTTAAACGAGCCTGGAAACCTAGACATAAGCTTCGGAAAATCATGCCTGGAGGACAGTTTTTCTTCATGCTCTCCAGACAACATGATGCTCCTCCTGGCAGCAACTGAACTGGGCTTCGGGTCATCCTCGATGGGCTTTTCAGATTTGGCCCGGTTAGCCAAAGGCCCGGAGTGGGACCCACGGATATGGGTTTCATTGGATTGTCCCGCCAAATGGGATGGTCTGGGAGGGTCGATCGGAAAACCAGAAGCTGCTTCTTCAGGGTGTGAGCTAAACATTTCGCTCCTGCTTCTGGAGTTCGACTGGGACCTTCTTTTCTGAAAATGTAGAGCAGTTGATTATAATTTTTTTTTAAAAAAAAAAAGGATTTTCCTGAGTTTTGGGGTAATATATCTTAAAAAAGAAGAATTATTTTTTAAAATAACGAAACATCATCCTTCAAGTTTTGATTCTGTCAATAATCAGTTTCCATGACAGATCTGCTGGCGCCATTCGATTACTTACAGTACTCTCAACTTTTCAAGAAAGTTAAAAATGGCCTCAGCTTTTAGTGGAGGTATTCGGAATTTTGAAAAGGGATGAGGTTTATATGGTTTATATATAAAAATGTGAGAACAAAATGATGGGGTTTATTTGTTATATTTAGAAAGATGGAGGTTGTGACTGTAAAATTAATGGACGGCTTTCAGCAATTCAATTCCAGTTTGCAACACTGAAGGTGCAAAATGTAACACCTAGGTAGGTGTTTGCAATTCTCAAAATTAAAAAAAGACTACACGATTGTCAAATAGTTCAACTTGACGCCCCAAGTCTAAAAAGTTTGACCAAGTCACTCAACCTGCATTGACGAGATTAGTTCAGCGTTAGCCTCGGGCGCTGGAACTGCACGAGATTCTCTCGATCCTCTCTTTTCGACATCTTGCCTTTGGGCTTTGCTGCCAGCTGGCACTAGTCTACAAATGTCACTGTGTCAGGCTATACGGGTAACAAAAACTTTACACACACAAGGATATGCAGTTTTAAACTATAACTGTTCCGCTATCTAAAATGTAAGACAATTACCTCCGTGCCTCTTCTCGAATTTTTGCATCAAACTCTTTGGTGGGAGGATATTTTGGCAAACTTGAAGGATCACAAGGATGCGGCTTTGCTGTAAAGAACTATGAGGAGATAATATCCATGATAAGTAAACAACCCGACTTTGATATTTCTTTTTTAAATAAGATAACATGCAAGAGAAAACAAGCTCATTGTAAATAACGTGTGTACCTCACTCTTCAAAGCAGAGGCTGCAGATCCACGATCTGTAGGATCGATGGACAGTAAGATCTCGATAAGTGCTACTGCTGGTTCGGGGAAATCTTTAAATGTTTCAAATACACGACGTTTATACGGTTGTTGGGGCTTGAAAATTGTAGCATGAGGCAGCTTCGATTTCTTCCAGTACTCCTCCGAGGGGGACCCACAAAGTTTGAATATTTTATGCAATTGCTCAACCTACCAAACAAAGTAGTCATTTCCACGTCCAATATTATCATATAATTATCCCTCCTAAAGTATTTTAGGAATTGTAAAATATTTAATGCCATTAATCAATCACCAAAAGAGAAAATGAAAATTGTTCTCCAGAGGTACCTCTGTTCTCCCAGGCATGATAGGTTTGCCAGCATACAGCTCAGCCACTATGCAACCAGAGCTCCACAAATCTACAGCAACACCATAATGAGTGGCGCCAAGAAGAAGCTCGGGCGGCCGGTACCAAAGGGTCACAACACGGCTGGTCAACGGTTGACTCTGATGAGGATTATAAAAGCTAGCCAGGCCAAAATCCGCAATCTTCAGGATCCCATTATTGTCGATTAGAAGATTTGAACCTTTTATATCACGGTGAAGGATACCCCGGCTATGACAATGATCAAGACCGAGTAAAAGTTGTTGTACATAACACTTAACCTGAAGAAATTAACAAATGTTCTTACATTTAATTGAATCAAATCTTAAATAATATTAAAAGGTTCACTGGCATTAAATAAATTGAACAATTAACCTGAGGTTCGGTAAATTTGAGCTCGGGATGGGATGCAAGTCCGGCCAAATCATGCTCCATGTATTCAAAAACGAGGTACAAACTGCAAGACATTCGTGATGTGACGAGGCCTTCCAGTTTGATTATGTTCGGATGATCGAGCCTACGTAAAATGTGGATCTCCCTGGCCATGAAACGGACGCTCTCAGGCTCCATGTTATCAAACCTTACTTTCTTCAAAGCAACAATCTTGCCTCCATCAAGATCACGGGCTCGGTATACATTACTGTAAGTACCTTGACCAATCTAACAAAATAAAGTGTTGTCATAAATTTTACGCATAAAGCAACCTTAGCCTTGTCAGAAATAAGAGAAGGCTCTTGTTTAGAGAATACACAAAAAGATCATTTAGTCGTGCTATATGGATTGACCTTGACCCTAATCAATAGTTCAACACACTTATAGTCTATTACCAATTTGCCATGCATCTGTGAAAGTCTTCTTGTGTTTTTTTTTTTTTTCTTTTTCACCTTGATTAGCCACATATCAACCCACTTTGACCAATTCACACAGTTCATGATGAATGGCTAGTGTGAAATCTTTTACATCTATTGGTCTGTAACTGTAAGAGTCAAATTAAAAAGACACCAATGTTCATTATGCCATACCCTTACGAAGCATATACTTCTATGAACGGAAACTGGCAAGTTGTAGAAGAAGTGGATTTCATTGATCAGGTACAACAATATAGCTTAGTAAATTAAGGATATGCTTGTCTACCATGCACTTTCTACCATATACCATTCTCTCATTTCACAAGAGATTATTTTTTTTCCCCTCTACCCAAAAAACTATCCACAGCCAAAATATTCAAAAGACATATTATTCACCCTAACTATTTTCATTTACAAACTGTTTCAGAAAAGATAAATCATTATATAAGGAATCTCCCATGAATCTTGTGACATTTTTAAGCACTAATCATATCCTTGAAAGAAAAAAACATCAATCACAACCAATCATTAATGAACCTATTTTTCATATCACAACACAAATTATTCAACCACAGCTCGGATACTATGCCTCTGCAGTTCTGAAACACATTAGTATAAAATATAAAGATCAGTGCCGAAAAAAAAAAGTACCTTATCCAATTTCTCGAAAGAATCCGCCCTCCTCGGCACCCATCCTTTAATAGCCTCGCCGGCCACTGCCGCCAGCCAATGCGGCCATCCGGCCGCCACCTGTTCTCCTTCATTTGCTCTCGGAACCATACCTAACCTAGGATGAAGCACCTTATTCACATACTCGGCCTTCTCTCTCTTCCTCTCACTACTCTCTCTCTGCAATTGACCCGAACCATTAACTACCTTGTCAATCAAAACCACTTTCCCCTCATTGTCACCATTATTAAAATTACTATCTATCTTATGCTTCACCCCACAATTCTCCTCCCTCCTAGAAGACACGCCATTGGCAGCGGCTTGCAAATTATCCGACAAGCCCTTATTTGACGATTTTTCACCCGGGTTTTCATTACTGTCGTCAATGGCGTAGGACTTGCAACAACAACAGCCCATTGTACTCCGATTAAAACAAAAACCCGACCCAAATTACAAAATTGGACTCCCAATTTCAACTTATTTAGCCAAAGCTTCGTGAGGATGATAAACAAGTGAGCCCAGAGGTAAACCAAAACACCTCAACTGCACTAAATTGGCTTGTTTCCAGCTCAGACATTGTCAAGCACACGCAACTATCACCAGAGACAAAACATTTCAGCTAAGATGTACTGAAAGACAAGATTGTACAGTGGGGGAAAAAAGTGGGGTTTGAGAATAAAATCGAAAATTGAAAACTGAAAATTGTAGCCTTGATTTGTACCTGAAGTTGAAGACTGGCGCATGAAAATGGAGCTGGGGAGAGTGTGAGTGAGGATTATTGTGGCGTGGGACATTCGTGGATCTAGGGCATGGAGGAGAGAGAAAAGGGGTCAATCTTTCTTCAACCTTTTTTCCTGTGATTTTCTGAGGGCTAGAGAGAGAAAAGGTGTGTGAATTTATGGCTGTATTTATATATATATACTTACTGACAGCTAAAGCAAGCTTTTTCTTCAGTTACAGTGTGTGTGTGAGAGAGAGTTGTGAAAACCAATATGATATAATACATTTCTAATACTATAGTATATTGTAATGGAGACATTCGCCCATAGTTTTTACGCACGGACTGTCAGATTATCGGGCCAATTGTTAGACCGAATAATTAATTTTAAGTTTTTTTAAATATGTCTTAAGTATTTTTTTATATAAATATACATAAAATAATAAAATTAAATGTTTTATGTATATCATTTGTACATTAAAATGTTAAAAATATGTATCTCATGATAATATTTACCATATAAAAATATATACATAGTTTTATTATGAAAAAAAAATTAAAAAAAATATATATGAGTCGGGTCAAGTGGGTTGACCCGACCGGGTCAATGCATCGGGTCGGTCAGGTCAGTGCCTGGTTGGCCGGATTTTGACCGGTCATTTGTTGCCCTGTCCAAATAGTCCACCCGGATCGGTTCCAACTCCAGGTCGACCAGGTCTCAGGCAGGGACGGACCTGTATTAGGTCCAGGGGGGTCCGTGGACCCCCCTCAATTTTTTCTTAAAACCATTATATATATACATATATATAAATATTATAAAAATGAATAAAAATGTAAATAAATATGTAGAATATAAAAATAATTAAAACTTATCCTCAATGCTATTTTAATTTAAAGTAAATAATATTGTTATTTATTGAAAAATATATTAACAATCATTATATTTTACATTTCTGGATAAAGTTTTAAAAATAATAATTTAACTCTTTCGGCCTTTTAATTGTAATTTCAATTTAATGATTTATATAACCTATAATTTAGTTGGATTTTTAGATTTTTGAATGTTAATTGATTGTATATTTGAATGTTGATTTTTTACTTTATTATTTTTTATGTAATCACATACAACTTTATTTAATTTTTATTAAAAAAATGGTCATTTGATAAGCTCTAATCAACAAAAATGATATGCAATGTGTTCAAATTAAGTTAAATTTTGAACGAAAAAAACTTATTTTTCATAAATTATAGATCTTAAATTTAAATTATAAATACACGAAATCTCATTTTTTTCCTTAAAAAAAAGTTAGAGGGTAATACGGATTCTAAGTTCTTATAAAAACTTGAAGGTACACACATTAATATCTATAATTATAACTTATAAGTAAACACAACTTTATATGAAATGAGCGTGTATACGTAAATTACAAACTTGTTATTCAACACTTAAAATCGGGCCCCCTGAGTTAAAATTCTAGCTCCGCCACTGGTCACAGGTCGACCCGTCGAGCCGATCCGGGTCAAAAAACTATGCATTCTCCTATTTTTTAAGCATATAAGCTTTGAGTTCATTCAAAAAACAAAAATATAATAGATCCGGTTTAGAAATATATGGTCTTCAATACAAGTGTAAGTGGACCGAGTTTTGCTTGTGTGACAGTGAGAAAAATAGACTTGATTTGGTCTTAAGTCTATTCTATTTTAGATCCAAATAGAGCCGTAGACAGTGAGAAAAATAGACCTGATTTGGTCTTAAGTCTATTCTATTTTAGATCCAAATAGAGCCGTAGACTATTTGCATTCGACTTTAATTTGTTACTTTTATATATTTTTGTTCATATCATTCAAAACTTATGTTTATTTACATGTCACATAAGCACAATTAGACCCAAAATATTGTAGATTCTAAGATCACACTTTCTTATCATTTATTTGCTCCTATTTATTTATTTCTTTATTTTGAAATGTTTGAATCAGTTGTATGGTATTGAATCTCATTTTAAATTAATATCTCAAAGTCCCCTAACTAGTTCGTTTGATAAAGAACTTAATTTCTTATCGTTCTGCCAGAGAACGATAATTTTAAAAGAATTCAAATATAAGAATTTTTTTAGAATAGATAATTATAGAATCGTAACGGGTATATTTTTATTTATCAAACAATTGTTTATAAATTGGTAACACAATATGTTGGTGAAACAAAATATTACAGTCTATTATCAGCTAATAATCAAATAAAATCAATATGATTCATATTCATAGCGGTTAGACCTTTTTGATATATATGCATACTTTCAAAACCACCATAAATACAAATATGTTTATAACGCACTTTTATTTAAATCTAACTAGGTAAAGTTGCTGAAAGGGCGATTGGATATAAATAAAACCGATTTTCATTGACACAATTACATAATACAAACATGATTTACAACAACATAACAAAAATATTTTGCATATTAGTTAATGTTTTTGTAGTATGTCATTTATAGGTTAATAAATATCACAAATGGATGGTATTATAACGAATAAAATGCTTGTAAATAAATCATATTCTCACTTTATATATCGGTTTTGCTATGAAGCCAATAGTTGACTCAATAGTGGAACCAACCTTCTATATACAATAAAAAAACCTACCATATTAACAAAATTATATTAATGTTATTTAAGTAATTAGAGAATATGGTAAGTTTATTTATTTATATATATAACCTAAGACTAATTGTAACAACTATTATTTTATATATTTTAAATAACTACTTATAATTCAGTTTGAGTAATATTGCAATATTCATTATAATCATATTCTTGTCCTTATGCTTTTAAAGAAAATTATTATTTATGAAAAGAATTATATATACAATGCTAAAAAGGAAAAATGGTAAGAAAAAATTGTCTACATAATTTTATTTTTTAGCAATTAAAAGTGGTTGGTGAGGAATTAACATACTATTTCAAGTATACTAGCATTCGATCCTATGCACATGCACAGTTATAAATAAAATTTTATATGTTATATGTATGTGTATGTAATATTTAAATAATAAGTTAAATGATGAGCATATCACATTTTATAAATTTTATCATTAGTAAAAATAAATGAATAAACATAAACTATTAACTTGTATATTAATTTTTATATCGATCGAAATTATTTAATTTTTACAATCTTTTTTAATTATGAACAATTGACCAGACAAAACAATATCGAAATTTAAAATAGTTCAGAATTGTAGTTATAATAAAATAATATTAGATCCGCCGCCTCCTATAATAATTAGGTCCATTATAACATGTGTGAAATTATTATATCTACCGATGGAAAAAGAGAAGACATTGCAGTGACAAATTATGTAGCAGGGCCCATAGCATTGGTTAGCATTTAACTATAGTTATGGCCGTGGGCTCCACCGGCCCAGATTATTAATGGGTCGACGGTCAGCGGGCCTAAATTCGTGTTTGTTTCCGTGAGTTCATTCGTGGTTTTTAATCATTTTATATATATATATATATATATATATAAGGTAGTCTTGCATGCTTCGGATACTATGTATCAAAATTATCCAAGTCAAATGTGCTAGGCTTAAAAGGTAGTCTCGCATGCTTCGGATACTATGTATCAAAATTATACACTTCATTATTTGACTTGGATAAATTTTAATTTATTTTTAATTTAAAAATAATTAGGTCCCGATTATTCATAAATATATTGAATGTTTATGGTCATTTGAGATGCATTAAGTTCATTTTAATATTATTTCCTATTATAACTATTTACTTGCAAATATATTTTAAAAGTTAATAACTTTTGTAAATAGTTTCGATTTGACGTTCATATTGTATGTATATAATAAATAAGTTATATTTATCTTTGTAATAATAAAAGCTTATTTATTGATATTAACTAGAAAAATAAAATTATTTATCAACTATTATATTTATGTTTAAAGTAGTTATATGATATAAGTTAGAAAAATTATTATAGCATAACATAGGCAAATCGCACAAGTAACAAATGCTATTCCAAAATATATATATATAATCATGATTTCACTTTTTTCAATAGCTTCTTCATAATGATTTCATATCATAACAAGTACTACCTCATATTTTTAATATATGTCGTTTTGAGAAGTTGCACATTAATTTAAAATATTTTTTTTGTCAATAATAACTTTATTTAATGAAGATAGAGATGAATGTTTTGAGAAAAAATGAATAGTGAATATGAAAATGCGTAATGTATTTATTAGCTAAATAAGGGTAATAATAGAAAAATATGTATAAAATATCTAAAACGACATTTATTTAGCAAATAGTTGATAAAGCTAGAATTACATTTAAAAAAAATAGGAAGGAGTAGTAAAAATGACATCAATAGTTTCATAAAATTTGTTAGTTGAGATGATGACACATATCACATATTGTTGTAACTTGTAATTGTCAAAATGCCATTTCTTTAACCCCATAAATTTGGGGGTTGAGAAAGTAGGGGTCCCTTTCACACACACTACTACTACTGTCATAAGATTTTTTTTTTTATTTTTTTTTTTTGTTAGTTGAAATTTATGAATCTTTAAAGGCTGTGTGATTGGGTATAAAAGTTTTTCCAAAAGAAAGTCGTAAATAAAGATAAATTAGTTGAATTATTGTTTTATAAAAATTGATATAATTATGAGCAAAATTAATTTTATGGAGTCATCGAATGATTTTTCTTATGGAGTCATCCACTATTTAATGTATTGATACATGTCCAAAATGTATTTGTTGTAGTGAACATGTCGATACTCAATACACTATTGGTGAATAAGTGTGGATGACTCTTTAAATCGAGTCATCTGATGACTCCATAACAAAACTGTAATTTTGAGATTGTGGAAAAGTTTGTTATTCACCTTTTCAAAAAGTCTTAATTTAGCCATTGACATAATTAAAAAATAAAAATATGTTGAAATGATGTCCCATTGAATTGCCTTGGAGACTTGGAGTTTTGAAAAAAAAAAAAAAAAAGAGCTGCAAAGCTTTTTGCATTAGCTGCTTGGTATTTAAGTAATAAATGAGGCCATGGGTTAAAGGAACAACTTTGAATTTATTTATTTATTAATATTAAAATGAATATAAAAAAACTCAAGATATAATGTATTTATTTAAATTATGAAAGGAATCCTGGTTAATTTGTTTAATGTTAATTTTATTTTTCAAATAATAATTAGAAATATTTTACATTTCTTAATTTTAATATTTTAATATATATTGTGTTTATTTAAATTAAATTAAATTAAATGGATATGGCAATTTAATTTAATTTAAATAATAACATCAATTTTGATATTTGTTAATATAAGATAATTATATAAATATATTTGAGGTTTATTACGCATAAGTATTTATATAGAAAAAGTATTTAGTAAGTTAATAATAACAATAGATTTTCCCAAATCAATTTGTTGTTTTTACAAACATATATTTCTAAACCGATCTATACTAAGGTCAAAAACATTAATATTAACTTAGTAACAATTAATCAAAACAACTATTATTATTATGTTACCGTTAATTCTAAATTATCAAATGAAACATACGATAAACAATAATTAAAAAAATGATTATATTTAAAAAAAATTATAATAGACTGGCATAATACACATATAATAAAAAAATATTGATTAATATTAATTGGTCGTTAAAAAATGTGTAAACACTCATATACATATTTAAAAAAATGATAATATTTATTATTATTTTTAAAAAATGATAATATTTATTTCACTCATAGTTAAAAAATAATAATTTAAAAAAAAAATCCATATGAATTGTTACTCGTAAGGGCCACGTTGGCTTTTATCTCACCCGCCCTAGCCCGGCCCGCCAACCCGCACGGATTTGGTCATGTCAAACCTATTGACCACAGTTTCGAGACGGGACTGGATTTCAGATGGATCATCAATTTTATAACCCGGTTTGGCGGGTCCACATTGGGCCGGGTCGATGACCTCTTTTTTTATTATTTTTATTTATTTTTATTTTTTGAAAAATATGAATCCGCCCGGTCAACCAAGTCATTGACCCGGCACGAGTATAGGTCCGTGCCAGGCCCGGGCCAAGTGGGGGCCGTGACCCGGCCCGGGTTTTGCCTTCTGCCCGTTTTGACGGCCAAAGAAAAAAAAAAAAAAAAACAACAACTGTACGCATAAACCCTTCAACACGAATTGCTCAAAACACAACAAAGAGTTCGATTTTTTGCTTGAGAAAGAAGGTGAGATCAATTTTCTAGCTTAATTTTCTTTGCAGTAACCGAAGATTCGTGATTTACAAAATATTATGTTTGATGAATGTAGTGTAGAAGGTTCTTTTTTTGGTCCATTTTGATATTTATTGTGTTGTTTATGTTCTGTGGGCTGGAGATAGGGTTCTTACAATAGTGAATTGAATTTGTAATAACTTGTTTGGGGTATTCAGTTATTGTCTGAGCTGTTCAGAATATGTTTATATTGGTATTGTTCTTGTTTATGTTGTTATATTTTGATGTTTGGTTCTGTAAATGCATGAGGAATTGCAGTCCTTCCGACTGAATTCTCGTTGGTATCCTTTACTCGATTGATGGAAACTTCAATTTCCTCTTTCGTAATTGCATATATGGAAAATGCTGGTGACTAGTTTAAATCGAACCGATATATAGATATTGCAAGACTCGATTTTTAATATGAAAGGGTCAGTCCTTAAGTTGTATTTACTCTCTGTTGATGCTAATATCTATCTTACGATGCTTGATACTGTTATGAGGTTCCCAGTTATATGGATTTATCTTTTACTGTTTAGCTTCGCTAATGCATAGTATTCTCTGTTTACCAGTTACAATGGGTGGATTACCCGTACAGAGTCCTTGTGTCATCTCTATTCAATCTGGGCCTGAGCCGGTTTCAAAGCCCAAGAAGAGGATTTGTTGTGCTTGCCCCGAGACCAAGAAGCTAAGGGATGAATGCGTTGTGGAGCATGGAGAATCTGCTTGTGAGAAATGGATCGAAGCCCATAAGAAATGCCTTCGTGCAGAAGGCTTCAATGTCTGAAAAATCATCTGGGTTTGTCTTTGAAAGATAGAAGAAAGAAATTTAGTTTTTGGTATCAAACATATTTTTTCGGGGCTTTTTTTTTTTTATGATTTTGGAAACTAGTTGATTTCTTCATATTTAGGATGGCTATGCCGTTATCTTGGTCTAGTTGAGTAATCGGATGAAATTCCCATTCTTCAAATGCTAGAAATAAAAAGTTTTATCTGTATACTAGTGTGAAATTAATGAATTGTCAGCTTGAAATGATGAGCGTTGAATTGTTACCTTTTTCATCCGATTGTGTTTCGATTAAGTTCTGATAAATTGATTGGCCTTGTGCATGAACTATATATTGATTATTGCATGACTTTGCTGGTGTCTGTATCTCTGTACATTTGTGTATAAGAGATATTCTTGAAAACTGAACTGACAGGAGCATGTTTGAAACTAAGTTCGAACACATTTTCTGAATTAATCGGGAATTGGGCATCAGAATCACGGTTCATCTTAAGTAATCACTACTGAGTGATGAGGATCGTGTGAAGAATCATTGACCTCTCAATGAATTTTGACGTGAGCTCTATGTGCTCTGTGTGTATTTCATTGCTTTAACTTGCTTAAAATTTGATGAGCTTGTTGTGTCGGGTTAATGCAGTAAATGTGGCTAAAAGGCCGGGTTCGATTCGACTATTTGTAGCCAAAAAAAAAAAAACTCATCAAAATTGTTGTCTGTTATTGTTGCCTAAGAACTTCCCTAACTTTGTAATGGTAGAATTAATCATCTGAAGTTTGGATCAAGTGAATCATTACGACATTGGAATTGCTATGAGCTTCTGCCACAGGTACATAAACAAGTTGAAATGGAACTATTACTACATTGGAATTGCTACGAGCTCCAGCCACGGGCATAAACAAGTTAAAATCGGTACGCAGTTCTTTCTTTTTCTTTTTCTTTTTCTTTTTCTTTTTCTTTTTTTAATACTTATATTATTATTACAGACATCATTTCATGATCATCTGTGTTATTGCACGAATTCTCGTTTCCTATGATTACCGAGGTTGAGATGAAATGAGCATGAAAAAAACCACAAGACATAAAGATTTCAGTCCATCACTACTAATACATAAGATAAAATTCAAACTATTACATATTTAGTGAACCGTGAACGGATCACTAATCGACTCTTACACGTGACTCGGGATAAAAGATTACAAGTTTATTCATCCGTGATGGACTATAGTCATAAAGGTGCACCCCCATATAGTCTATAATAACTTAGATTCAGGGGTTATTCAGTGACCACCACAGGTGCAGTTGGTGCAAGCGCAGCTGCTGCCGCACTTGCACTTGCCGTCATTTTCACCTGCCGACACATCCATATCCATTTTCTCCGAGAAGCTGCAAAATAGAAATATTTTCTGAAATTATATATACAAATATATGTATGTGTGTGTGTTATTTATCGTTCTCGATTTTTTTTCTGGAGGAAACACGATTGGGATTCTTAAAGATTTGTTGGGACTTTAAGAATTCTGGTGTATTCAGTTAGAATTTTTTGAGACTTCTAAAAAGCCTACTTGTATTTAATTGAGACTTGTAGGTATCCACCTTTTGACACTGAGATTTACAGACTTTTTAAGATTTGTTGAAATTTCATAAACAAAACCTTATACGAAATTTCACCCAAAATCTCACCTCCAAACTTAAGATTTTCAAGGATTCTTCTTAAATCTCCAAATCTTAAAGAGTCTAAATTTTTTTTAAAAAAATAAAAATTAAAATGTATCTTAAATTCTAAACGAATACACTCTTCTATGATTTATAAGGTTTCCCTTAAATCTCAAAGTCTTAAAAAATCTTAAATCTGAAAAAGTTTTAAAATGTCTATTAAAATCCCAAATAAATACACCCCAGTAAATTTTCTATTGATTTGTGCAGGTGAGTGAAACTTGAATTTTGGATTGAGAAATATACGAGTGGTTTGGCTCGGTCTCGATGATCTCAGCAGTGTATCCCTTTTTCCTGAAATATTCATTCGGTTAGCATTTTACATACTAAAAAAGAAGAAGAAAGATTCATTAAATTGCATAGTATGAAGATGGCAGTATCTTTTTAATGATACGAAAAAATAAAATAAAATAAAAACTAACACGCATTGGCTCTGGTCCGAGCAGTCGCAGCCAGCACACTTGTCCGACATGATGAAGGTTTTTTGAGTGCTTGAAGCAGGAAAAAACTATGTAAGTTTATGCTCAAAATTGATGTTCTTTTGTACGATTTATCGGTTTACAAAGAGTTCGTTATTTATAGATCAAGAATAGGTGCAAGTCGATGTGGTTTTGTGGACCCTGAGAATATAGCTGGGCACGAGAAAAGCACACACTTGAGGATTGAAAAAGAATACCACTTTGAACAAAATTCTTGATAAAGAATTTTTCTTACCTTTTTTTTTTGGTAGCAATGATATTTTCTAGTTATTAAATAAGACTAAATGCATAAATACTAAGCCAAAACTTGGAAACATGTTTGGTTTGGCTAGTTTGGTAAATGAGCTGTATCAACTCTTATAGTTGCGAGTTTGGCTCGTTAGGTTTAGAAAATAGGAAATGTTACGTAATTTCTTGGACTAGTACATTAGTTCGGCTCTTTAAAATTATTCGAGTTTGGCTCGTCAAGGCTCGAGTTCGAGTCGAGCACAACTCGTTAATGACTCGAGCTAGTTTGGAACTGAACTCTTTGGAATCACATGATAAACCTCAGGAAAAAACTGTCTTCTTTTTTTTTTTCTTTTTTTCTTTCGGTTCTTTAAAAAAAGTTGGCACTATCATATTTTATTAGACCAGAACAAATTCCTTTTGAATTTAAGCCAGTCGAGTGTATGGCACTTTTTTCTGAAATCACCAGTGTTTGTGACATAAAGCTGTGTAGTGATAAAATTATTTATTCTCCTATTTATTTTGAACGATTTGTGTTACTTCTTTTATTATTTGATTAGTATGTAACCCGTGCAATGCACGAGATATATATATTAAATGAATTATTTTCAGACGATTCTGTTCGTTTAAATCTAAATATCAATAGGGTTATCATATATTTTTCACTTGTATATTAGGGCTAGCTTGTAAAATAATTAATATATTATCTATACATATTTAATTCTTTTTTTTATCGGTTATACATATTTATTTCTTAATTTGAAATAAAAAAAATGTTTGACCAGTTGAGTATTAAATCAGCACTAATTAATTTATTAAGCAAGTAAAGACGCAAAGCAAGACAATTTATTATTCAGCAATTTAGGGTGATACATAGTTATTTTCTTTATTAAACATGATTTTTAAAAATAAAACAACATCAACCCCAAATAATAGGCAACATTCATGGTTTTGATGAAAACCAAAATAACAAAATCCTTAATTAATGGGTAGCATTTAATGCTGCCTTTTTTGTAAAAAAAAAGTTACTAAGAATAGAATGTAATTAATGCAAAATGATTTTAACCAAAATTTGACCTGCTATTTTTTAAAAATGGTAAATCTTTTTATATATATATATATATTAGATGAATAGTGAAGTAAAGTTGATGTGGTGTGTAAGAAAATGATTGATCGATATTATTTAATTATATTGTTAACATTGATGATATTGGGGTTGAGTTAAAAAAAAAAAAGTTGAGGTAAATATGTTTGGATTTTTTTGGGATGTATCACAAATTTTCACTCTAAAAAATAATTCGAACGATATTTTTGTTTTTATAGTTAAGAATAGGAAAGCTATAATCTGGCATTAAAATAAATTTATTTCATGATGGATAGGTGCCTTTCTTATTATTCTTATCTATGATGGATTATTATTGTTATAGTTGTTGTTGTTGTTGTTAAAAACTATACAAGATTGGGCTAAAGGATAAAAGTGGGCTTTTATTGGACGTTGAGCTTGAGCCTTTATCATCGGATACACTCCGAAGCACTCCTTATGAAGCGCCCATATATAGGATGGGCCATGATACATACCAACTACCAACCAAAGAAGAAAAAGCCCACCCTGCCCTGGGAAAACTATTTTTTAAGTATGTAAGATGTCATATTAGTATAACTACTAAGGAAAAAAGACCGCTCTCAGGTTGCTTTTAAGCTATATAACTGATAAATTTGCAAGAAATCTACTAAAAATTTAGTTCTTCATCATATGCAAGTCTTTTACTTGTTCTTCCATCACTATTAAATCTTATGGTTATAGGTAATGTCTTAAACCATGTAAGATGTGATG